CCCGTACGTTATAGTTTATTTATGCATATAGGACGGACACGAGATTTGTTTCGTCGGTGATGAAGGTTATTGTGAGCTATCAAAGTATGACCCGAACGCTGATAAATTGCTTGAGGAAGCTATAAAGAACGATACCAGTGAAGAATGGTTCAAAAAGCACGGTGATAAAAAGGCCAAATAATTTGTATATTTGGTAAAATATACATGGTTTTTTTCAAAACTTCTATTTCTTGTATTTTATCTGTGAAAATCGAATTGCAATTCTTGTTTTGATCGATCGCCAATGAGACGGTATAAGAACCAGTAATAGACATTTGGATTTGAATGTTTAAGGTAGTGGTATAGCCAATCCATTTAGGAGTCCATTCCCGGTATATCGTTCGAAATTTAAATTCAATTAACCTAAACTACCCGGTTTTGTTAATAGTTTGATAACCTCCAAAATAAGGTTACTTAACGATACTGTGTGTCTATATCAATAGTTTGCTATCGCCTGATCTTTTGGTTTACAATTTCTAAGCTCACCAGCATTACGAGTGAAAATGGGTAGTGAAGAGATCAAAAAGTCGATCCCATCAGACGACATTCGATTCCTTTTAGACCAGTTATTGATTAGCTTTACGGAAACATTCTTGTTGACGCTGCTCCCTTTGATTTCGATAAGGGACGAAAGCTTAGCACATCTTTATTTTAATCGGAAGAGGTTGCCCCGAAACCAGATTTAATAAAAATGCTCCAATAAAGATAATCGACAGCTGTCAAAGTGTAATCAGCTATCATATTCTCTTAAGATCGGCCTTCTAACCTCTTCACCACACGCTCCGACTGGAAATAAAAGTGAGCCCAACTTAACACGGTTGATGCCTTTAGTGGCACGGCCTACGCTTGCAGCTAATTGAATCTTGCGTAAATAATATGCAATAGCCTGTAGTGAGGAAGATACCGTTAGTTTGTCTGTCTTAATTTTACACGTGTTATTATTGCTGAGTCTGATTCATTATAAGGTATATTCATCGACCACTAACCAAGAATGAAAAACTATATTTGGGATATAACTATGTGCTAAATGAGCGCCAACAAAGCTAGACTGAGTGTGGTTCGTTCGGTTCGAGTACACCGAAATATGGTGCTTAAGCGATTTGCAGACTACATCGCATAGAGGAAAGCAGTAATGCACTTAGTAAAGTTTATCATGATATTATCACGATGCCGTTAAATCAATAAAGATGGTAATGAGCTGAATTCGGTATGACCCTTTATGTCCTGAACAGTGCTGAGCCGCATAATTGCAACTTCCGTAAATCCTTAACTGTCGATCGTATTGATTCGCATCCAACTTCATGCACCAGGCGAACCCCACCCACAATGTCTGGATAGAGAAGTATTAAGCATTTTTAAGCAGGAAATAAAATGTATTGGTTTAAGAATATTAACAAGGTATAAAAATATGAATTATTAACTTATTGCAGTTTATTAAGCGGGGATAAATTATAATCTTGAACCGGTGTTGAGACGGAGGAAAGATTCCTAAATTGCTGTTGTTATAGACAGTAACTGGTTTAATGGATGACTTTTGGCAACAACTCGCACAAAAGGGGTTCGCTGCACGCCGACAACCTCGACGGTGGATGATGCTGAAAAAAACAAGTACTGCCAAATGGACAGATTCCTGTGAGGAAGAAATTTTTGCATGGCCTGGTACGATACTTCGGGTGATCATTGGCTTGTCTGAGCTCCTGGGGACCATGGGCAAAATGGCAGTTACCCTCTAGAGGGCATCGCCTATGCCGCTGGTAATGTAGACATGGTTCAGTTTTGTAGCGGGCATTATAGATGGCATCCTGTTCACGTGGGGTACAACGTTTCAAGTGCACTTGCATTGGTCGGAGCTGGAGTAAAGTTGGTTGAGATATCGATCTGGTTGGCTGCGGTGGCAATCGACTGCCGTATTGTGCGCCGGAAATCTTCGACAAGGGCGGAGTCGACTGGGCTGAGTTGGCTCTGCGTCGATAGCAAACGTCAAAACAATCAATCTGTCGATCAAGGTTAAAAGCACATCTGTCACAAAGGGGACTAGCAGTAGGGGAATTGAGTCTGCAAGAAGTACAACAGGATTTTTCGGGATTGCTGGGTGCCGCAAACGAGGTTTGAAGGTTTCTGTCATGGCCAGTGTCGTGTGATGCTGAGTGTCGTGGTGAAATGAGATCGGTGGACGAAGAGCAGGCACCCCAGGCGACGTCGATGATGCTTTGAAGCCTCTCTGCTAACGGATGGACCAGTCGATCATAGTCTTCGGCAGAACTACATTTGCCCGACGTTGCAAGGGTCAATTTAGTGAACCAGTCAAGAGTTGTCTCGACGTCCGCCTTTAAGGAATCCACTTGGCTGCAGGCGCTTAATGTACTCGGCATTGAGCCACAATCGCGAATGTGTACAACGCGAAGAAGAGATGAGGGGATTAAAGTGGGCTGTAAGGGTAGTTGGGCAGAAGGTTGATAAAAAGAGGCTGCTAAAAGGAGACGCGATCACGGCGGCAAGATCGCAAAGACGAGCGTCACGGCTGGTGGCGAATGGGAAATTGGAGAGATTGATGAAAGGTGAAGAGAGTTGAGGCTACCAAGTGAGTGGGCCTCAATCCGACTTTAGGACTGTCGATCGACTAGAACCATATGAACAGACCATCGGTAGTGGGACACGATTTCGTCATTTAGCCTGCCTGCCTCGGTAGGTCCCCCTATTACCCTATCTGTCCGTCTGTCCGTCTGTCTGCCTGTCTGTCAGCATTACTAATCCGGACGACCATCACAACTAGACACCAAGCCATGGCTTACTTTCACTCCATATTGCGGCCATCGGGCCAGCCCTGTAGGGCCGTGATAGCGATTGTTGGTCGGGACGGCTCGTGACAACGGTCAGCTGACCGCTCTCCACCCCCGTTTGGCGTCCAGTGTCCCCATCCCCCTGCCTCCATCCGATTGACTGGCCGAGTTCTGACTTGTCTGACTGGTTATCAAGCCCCAATCATAATTACGATTGGGACTGTGTATGGCTTGCCTACACGAATGCTTACATGAAGTATGCCATGACGCATCAAGTTGATTTGGTATGCATGTGAAGGTATGTGTGCATGAGTGCATAAGTGCACGGGTGCTCTTGCCTGCTCTCCCGTCTCTTTGCTGTGGCCAATTCGAGATCAGACCGGCCGAACGATTAGCTGATTCAGTCGGAACTGCTGTCATCCCCAAGCTTTGGCCAATCCGAGAACTCCATTTTTTTCATCCCCTCTTCAGTATTTGTGCGTGTGTCCACAAGGCTAGGCGGCGATCCAGCATGACCAAGAACGGACTGTGGATCCACCCGATCCATTCTATCCATCCATCCATCCATCCATTCGTCTACACGTCCACAACTTTCCGCTATTCTCGACCGGCCATCCTGCTTTAAACAAGCCAGTTGACCGTCTCAGCTGAGCTTGCCCGGTCCGCGGATGGATGGATGGCTGGTTGGCCTTGGACACAAGACGATGCAAGCGACGAGTCACATCGTGATGACACGCTTTGTAGACTCGCCTACGTCATCGACCTGCCATCTTGACCCGTATTTTCGCCAACCTTCCATCCAGGTCATTCCGGGATTGGTACTGGCCAGCCATTTTTTGCTCTTCGACTCTTTACACAGGAGTGGGTTTAATCCCTGCAACACATGAAAAAGTCGTCAGAAATGAGGCACTTGCTATCGAGTCAGGTCGCAGAATGACACGGTGACAGCATCACACTCATTCTGTGAGATAGTATAGGATTAGAAGAAGTAGTATAATAAGCAAACCTACTAGTTTGAGACCATTCTATCTCATGTCCAGCCTCTGCCTTGTGCTGTGCCACTTCTAGCTGTTGGATCCATCTTCTTTTATAAGCAGTTTTTGTTCTCCAAATCTTTTTCGAATAGGCTACGGGAGCAAACAATCTGTAAACACTGTTTTTATCCCCACTCCTTCATTAATTCGTTTATCTTCTTAGATAGAATGCATGACTGCAAAGTTAGGACATGAGAAAGATGGTGCTAAATTCAACCTACACATGTCTCCCTCATGCACTTTCATGCAAAATGAAGGTCTGTCCAACAATTTTGGCTCAAGAGATTAATCGAAGCCATGTTGCGCCTCGTATCTACATGTTAAACATAGTTTTTTGCTAAAAAGTAGGCTTTCGAAACTAAGTGTTGATCATATAGTTGATATCTATTCACCCTATTTGGTTTAAGGCAATAAGGGAACGGGTAGTTGAAGTTTCCTACGAGACTACCAGTTGACGTTATGCTTACACTGAATTTCATATAGTCTTGCTTTCCCAAAAGGTATTCTCATCCATGGAGTACTGCAGTTTCGATACATTGCCATGACTGCCCTTGGGTCGCAAGGCAGATTTGATTTTCAAGGAAGACGAGGCATTTTACAAATATACCATTATGTGATGCGATTTTCTATGTAGCCAAGTTGTATTGACTACTACATTACTTGTTTTTTCGTTTACAACTAAACATTCGAGACTACCAGTAAATCATAGATATGCGGTATATCCAGCCTATTTAGGGTAAACGTGTTGTCCATCCTGGATGATACTACCTTTTTGGGAAGTAAAGCTATGTGAAATCGAATGGAAAAATAGGTTACATTCATAGCATTGTTTGAAATTTCAACTACCAATCCCTTTATCACTTTAAACGGACTAGGATGAAAACACCTTATATATAACAAAAATATGCTCTAAAAAGCAAATAGAATGGCAAAAATAAAGTTCTTTTTCTTAAGACTACCATTAAACCTTGAATAAAATCTTGAGACAGTCTTTGACGCCTACGTTAATTTCAGGAATAATAGATGAATTATCCCACAAATAAATAAACAGGTATATGAGATGTCTTCACATTATTTCGTTTAAGGTGATAAAGGACTGGTAATATAATTTTCCCACAATGATATGAGTAAACCTGACGCTTCCATTGAATTTCACATAGCCTCGCTATCCTCAAACTTTTGTCATCTCCAGGCTAGACTGTAATTCTTACCCTGCTCGGGCCTCATCACCACTTCCTACATGTTTATAAATCTTTACCGACTGCCTCCAACCAAAAATAATTACTTGCTTCAAGTTATCGAGGCCTTCCAATTACATGCTTAAATGATTCTCAGAAAAAGTAGGACTCGGTCAATTCATCGGGTAGCATCAGGTCTCTTGTATATATGCCTTATACGACAGTTGTCAATTAAAATTAGATACGATTCTACGCCACCAGTCTCCTTCATGAGTGTTTGGAGACCCCATATCTGAGACCAACAGACTGCACTCAGTTCATATGCAAACTCGTGCATACGCTCAAAAAGGGTAATCATTGTATAAAATAATTTTGGTTAAAAGTGGACTCAATTCAAGCTTCTCATGCCTTCAC